CAAATTATTCATTGAGTATGTTTTTTTTTTGAAGTTATAGAATTGCATTGACTCAAATCCTATAAACTAACATAAGAGGTTATTTAATGTAACTAGAATAGTATATAATAGATATGCACGGTATATAGTGGATATACAGTCGGATCGTGTTCCAGTAATAACCTAAATGGTATATAGTATATGGATAAGGTTTGATACCTCATCTTGGTGACACTATAGATACGACTCACTTTGTAAAAGTTACAAATGAGTCAATCTAAGTCATTGATGTGCAGACATGCAAACAAGGGTATCCTATATAATGAGTATGTATAAGCTCGGACCACAAAATTATTAATCTTTAGTTATAACACCGTTAACTAATTAGATTAATATTTCACATGATGACCATGTAACTCGATCGCAATCCTAAGTGAGTTATGGACTCTTGCCTATAAGAAATTGTCATTTGATTTGTACGGGTGAGAGTGACATGAGACTCCGACTCGATACGACTAGTATTTTGGGGATGAGTACGAGTGGGGAGCTGGGAAGAAAACTTCGCGAGATGGAATTCACACTTTTCCGACTTTAGAGAAGTAGATGAGTTGTTCCCTTAAGTGCTGACTGTGGATTTTGAACAAGGGGCCCCACCCTCTCATTGGCCCGAGAGAGACTTTATTTTATGGTAGGACCATAAACGATTGTTAATTAAAGGATCAGTGGTACTTAAGAAGTAAGAAGTAACTATAGGGGTAAAACGGTAATTTGACATAGCTGTAGTTACGGACGACTCATGAAGGATTGACTTATTCATTATAGTTATATCCATGGATGCAAAATATTCTACAGTGCGAAGAGTGCGGTTAATGAATGTTAATTAATTTACTGAATGAGTTTAATTAATTAATCTTGTATCAGTAGAGCTTCTAATCACTAGGTCCATTAGGTCCCCTTGCTAGTTACAACAGGTAAAACAATGATCAAGAATTTGAAATGTTCAAATTTAACAAGAGAATGTATATATGGTATACACAATTTATATAATGTATATATTGATATGTTATATAGTTAATTTTGAATAAGGATTAGAAATTAATATTATATTGTTACGAGAGAATTATTTGAATAAAATTCAAATAAAATTTAATATAAATTGGATTCTAATGGAAAATATACATACATGTGCAGCGGAAGCAAGCAAGGATCGAAATAACAATCTAGATGCATATTACAATCTAAGATTAAACATGCATGATTATACATTGTTGGAAAATTTAAACAAATCCTAATTCATGATTACCTTTGAAATAAAAGCCATAAAATTCCAGAACAATCAAGATGAGGATCTAAGGATGGAAGAAAACCAAAATCTATAAAGAGATTAGAATTACCTTGAACAATTAGATAGATTGACCATGATCTGCAAGAAGTTGTGTCGTTTGTGGTCTTCCTCAAATATGCATCCCAGATCAAATATTGGCAATACTCTATTTTTTATGGGAATAGGAAGCTCAACAAGCATAGTGTATTGGGGACCATAACCATATATTTATAGGTTAATCCTAGGGTTTCCCATAATCCCCTAAGATTAATGGGCTGGTTTCTACTCAGCAAGCCACACCACTCAATAGGAAGTCATGAGCCTATAATCAAGATCACTCATATGCCCATTAAATAGCCCAAATATAATTACTCTTTAATTCGTCACCCACATATAAATTAATTATTAATTTAATTCCAAAAATCTCCCACTTGGGTAACAATTTTCTTTACTAGCAATTATATTAATTTATTCTTTAGTGCACAACTCAATGCTATTAAAATAAACTTCTCTTTAATAACAATCTGGTCCATTTCGCATATCGATGAGGAACCAAAGCGGCTTTTGTCACATGTATAGTCCAACTTTATTCTTTAAAGAGATCAAAATTTATGCTTTCTAACTTTATGTTAAACTGCATTTAGAAAGAAAATAATTCAAAGTAACAAAATAAAYCATCTTCTTTATTCTGCAGAAAAGAAAAACCACATGTCTAATTTAAGATTCACAAACTTCCACTCAACTGACATACCATAATTTTCACATATATATGTGCACTATGCTTGTAAACTTTTGTGAAAGTCCTTAATGAGCGGATCCGCAATGATGGGGTTGCAATTCTTTAAACAGAAATACTCTGAATTTCCTTTATCAACTAAAGCTTAAATATTCATACAAAAGCTTTTGTTGCTTTAATATAGAAAAATACAAATCTTTGTCATTATAACCTAAGGACAAAATTTGATAAGCATATTCTTAAGTTTGCTGCCACATACAAAATGCTATGAACACAATATTTAGTGGTGAAAGGGACTAAAGTGACTCTTTACTAGACAGTAGTATCCTTTAACCTATTAGTGAGTATAGCCTCAAAGGTGGATCTAGATGACAACTCAAATTATCAAAATCAAATAACCTTATGATCTCTAATTAATATGATTTTGATGAGTAAGCATGTAACATTTTTTTGTTAAACACCTTATAACACTTTAGATCCAATTGAGAGTTATAAAAAATTGTCTTACATTCTTGATATGAATACTGCAACGGAAGCATATAGACTTTAAGCATCAATTTTTTTATTTTACTTTATTATTCAGGGGACCTCTATTGACAGTGAGCTTATCTCCACTAGTGATTTCAATATCCCCTAGTTCATAAATCTTTATGCTAGAGAATTTACAATACCTTTCAACATAGTTTTTTTTGTGAATTCTCAATATTACTTGAGATTGATCTTACAATATTGTTTCACAATATAAAAAAGTTATGTTCATTCAAGTTTTCATCCTCTAACAAAGTCTTTAATTATTATGTCGCAGACATATTATACTAGGAAAATAAATGTGCTCCCACTAAACATGTAATTCATAATTATTATTCTTATTACCTTCCGATATTACATGTGATAATATCACCATGTAATGAATATTATGAAATCACAGATAAAAAATTCTTTGAGATCACAGATGAATATAAACCTTTTGAAACTTTGTGTTACTAGATAAAAAGTCTCCAAAATATACAAGATTATTGATTTCATAAATTATACAATGAAGAAACCAATCTTTATATTCATCTAACACAACTCAAAAAAGTTATAAGTATTGTCATTTACTTGAAAGAACTTTTCGAGAAGCCAGAAAATAGATCTCTAAAAATTAATGTCAGCCTTAAGAATTGAAACCATAACAACTAGATGAGCCTTATATTTGTTAACATTGCCTTTTAAAAACAATATAACAAAATGTAAAATATCTTCGTTGTTTGTTGTTTCAACACATTCTTTATGACATTCATTTTTCCTTTTAAGAGATAAGACTTTGTTTGATGGTAGAAAATATACTCTTTTTATCAAACTTAAATATTTATAATCATATTTCTCATGTCTCTTCTATTTACTTTAATGGAATTTTTAATGATGTTGAGTTTGTTTTATTCTTTACTACTAGTATTATTATAAAGAGAAAATAACTAAATTTCTTTTAAATACAACATTCTTTACTTTATCTTCCCCCCAAACTCAACATTCTTAAGAAACTTTAAGATCTCATCTACATCAACTTTAGGTGGGAACTAACTTTAGAAGTTATATATATTGAAAGACTAGTGTATCTAGAGTGACAACTAAAACCCTTAAGTCCAAGTCTCGTAAAACATTGAATTGCAACCGATTTTAGTTGATTCTTTGTACACCACTTAAAACTTTTTTATAACAATTCTGAGTGCTTTCTCCAAATAGACTTAGGGTAAGGAAAAATGATTTGTCATATTTCTTACCACACCTTTTTGAGCTTTGAATCATTTTATAAGCAACATACATCCCAGGTTTGCCTGAAAATATATATTACTTATTAGCTCTATAAATCCTTAAAGGAGTTAGCAAATGTTCTAGACCTTATCTTCTCAGTCCATCATATTTCATAACGATTTCATTCACTACGAATTGATATATGATGACTTTTAAAATATCCAGGAATAAAGACCTCTACTATATCAAATATCGGTGCCCCTAATGAGAGTAGATTTCTTGTAACATTATGCAATGTTGTTAAACATTTAAAGAAGCCATATCGAATAGGCTATAAATTAATGTTCTAAAATACTAAAGCTCTCAATATAGCACCTAATTTGCCAATCTCATTAATTTCTCATTGATCATTCCTAATATAGACTTGAATGTCTGTTTAATCTTAAGAACCAACAAGCAATGAATAGAAGTACCAAATTCTATTCAAGAAATAAAATAAGTTTTCATATGTAAGTATAGCTTGTTAAATACAAAAGTGAGAAGTCATATTTTCTTTATACCTCATGTGGCATTGTATTTGGAACATATTTTTTTCTATATGTTCAAATTTCCAAAAAATATCAAGAGAATTCCTAAGCTTGATTCTTCTGTGGTTTAGGCGAACATATGTTCCAAATAAACCTTAGTACCAACTTTAATTTCTTTCTTTAATTAATGAGTACAATTTTATTTTTTCTTACTTAAGCTATTTTCCTTCAAACATCAGTCAGAAATTAGGTTATTAAGAGTTCAGTATCTAGCCTTATAAGTATCATAAACCATTGCATACATATTGTATAATGTCTCAAATGATATCAAATGCACAAGTAAATCCTTGAATCTTTTAAATTTTGTGTGTTTGATCCTTCAGTGTACTCACTAGTGTTCTTTTATTCTTTATTAAGAAATAGTCAACAAAAAATTTAAAGTCTATTCCTTTTGTACTTTTTAAAACAAATCCTTAAGGAATTTCCTAATTATTTCCTCATTAAACATAATCCCCTAGAATATTGCAAAACACTGTAATAATACTTATGAAATTAAGTTTACTCCTACTTTTCAAGATCCCAATTAAACCTTAAAGGGATATTGATTTGCAAAATTTGAAGTGTTTCCTTTCTTTATCAAAAATTCATGCAAACTTGAATAAAAAGTATTCTTAAATACACAATAAGGCAGTTAAATAATATTTAACAATAACTAATTCAATAATAAAACATACTCGAAATTAACCTTTTATAAACTCGATGAGGACAACAAGATACCTAGCACAACATTGATAGCTTTTCTTTGGGCCAGCAATATCAACTTGCAAGTGGTACTCTCAATGTGGTGATCAAACATTAATAACCAATCCTGTCAAGTGAAAGCCTTCCTTTCGGCTGACAATCACTCACATGGCATAACTTTATGTTATCCATGTTTATCACCATAACTATATGTACTGGACCTATTATTTGGCCAAACTGAAGTCTTCCTTTGGGCTGACTACAGAGCGCATAAATACACAGATCTACAAACATCGATAATTTAAATGATATCAATATCAGAAATCAGAGGCTACTTTGGCAGCATGATTCATCAAATTAACACCAACAAAAAGGATCAGATAATTATGGAACATATGTAACTTTAATTATTATAAATTTTATCTTTATGAAAATAACACTACCAAAACTATTTTCAAAATTAATAATAATTTCTTAATGTGCATAATTTAATAATGGGAAAAGTCCTCTAAACAATTTATTAACTCTAGAAAGAAAAATAAAAACTAGATTTTTCTAAAAGAAATATTATTGATATTTTAATTCATCAACAATTCGACATACACTATGGAACACTAATTGTAGCAGGCAATAATTTAATATAAATAATCACTTCTGTTTGGGGATGGAAATACCTTGGACACGTGGAGGACCCCTATTGGTACACCAAGAT